CTCTCTCTCTCCTTCTTTATTTCCCTCTCTCTCTCTCTCTCTCCTTCTTTATTTCCCTCTCTCTCTCTCTCCTTCTTTATTTCCCTCTCTCTCTCTCTCTCCTTCTTTATTTCCCTCTCTCTCTCTCTCTCCTTCTTTATTTCCCTCTCTGTCTCTCTCTCTATTTCCATTTCTGTCTGTTGTCTGTCTCTCTATTTCTCTTTGTTAGCCTGTCTCTGTGACCTAAGTTCGAGGCCTGGTCAGGGAGGATTGTTATATATCTATATCAGTGTGGGATTGCTTTATTTTATTTTTTTTATTTTAATTTCTAAATCAATTTCCACTGAGTGCCCACGGCAAGTGTGTATAAAACCTTACTATCATTACTCATGTATGAGTTGATAGGTAATGTCTATGGAGCTAGTTAGATCCTAGTTGCACACTCCTTTTAGTGGGCTGTGTGGCATGGTTGGTTTAGTACTGGCCCTCCGGTCTCATACCTGGAGTGACCTAGGTTCAAGGCCTGGACAAGGAGGATTGTTATATATCTATATCAGTCTGGCATTGCATTATTCCATCTTACAAATGACTGTGTATTTGTCTGTCTATGAATATATATAAGATACCAAGAGTAATACAAGCCTATATAAAATTGAATTTAGTAAGGGTAACAGATTCCTTAGGATAGATGTAGATAATTCCCTGGAAGTTCCAGTTCACAGCTTTTGTACAAAATAAATATATATTTTGTTGGATCGATTCAGGCCAGTGTTTAGTGTCCAGAAAGAATCATTGGCTGTGCTATTATCCATTTCATAAACTGGTGCATAAAAGTTTTGGGACAGTAAGCCATGACAGGGTTATTGATTTAAATTCCGATGTTGCAGCAAAAAGTATAATGCCAAAGCACAGAACATGTTTAATTTTAGTCACAAAGCAGCAATTTTTTTTGAGAAGTTATGGCCTTTTTTACTTAGATTTTGCACCTATGTCTGTAGAACAGAAAATAGAAATTGCTGCTATACACAATCTCTGTACTTGGTTGTGAGGAACAGTCCCACACTTGAAGTCAGCAAATATTACTACAATGCACACAGGCTTTCTAGAACAGTTTAGGCCACTGGCTTGACCAAGATAGTTCACACAAACACCCATGTGCAGTATCAGGACTCCTTGTCTCCTCCTTGCAATGCAAATAGTGTTCATACTACATGCAAAATTTTTTCATTTTTTTCATTTTTCATTTGTTATGTTAGATCAAAAAGTTAATGGAATTTTTCCTTTGAGCAGACTCCATATTATCTCTCCTGCCTTGTGCAAAAACAATAACAATAAGTAACATTGTGTTACTTGTGTTATTTTGAAAATATTTTCATACAATTTTCTGTAACACACCCTGTACTACTAGTCAAGGTGGTTAGTAGGAGGTTACTGCACATGGAAGTAGTGTCTTTGCTGGAACTGATGCTCTTCCAGGCATGGCTCGGAGATAGTGCATGTGGAATAATGCAAGAGTACAGAAAGTGAGACATTTGTGGCACCTGCCACTCAGCAACAATATCAAATGTTGATTTATTCCTGTCACCCCGTCCCCCAGCTAAATTGTTCCTTAACAACACATTCCATCATTCAGCCAAATTTCTTTATGATGCAGGTTTAAATAGACTATCTATTCATTGTCTGAAAGCTAAACAAATTTGTTCTGCAGTTAAACTTGAGATGGTTCCAAAGTTTTCCCAGTGGGAGTACTATGCCTATAAGCATCTGTGTAACCCAACTAATGTTCTGCCAGGTTACAACAAAGCTCCATTGTTAAGCTTTGTCTCTTTCTGATCCTAATAGATCAAGATAACAGACAAGCCATCTGCCCATGGCTGGACTGACTAAACATAGTCAGATTACCACATACTGAGATTTTATTGTAGTGATTTTCATGAAATGTATTAATTTCTCCATGAAATTTAAATATTTGAATACAGACAATTTTCAACAGTATCAGTGGATTCTACTTTTTTCAGGAATTATGTCAGTCAGTCTATGACAAGAATAAATCTCAGGGAGAGAGTACCTCAGATATGCCTGCAGAAGATGATGAAGAAGCAGAAGTTGCAGGTGAAATGAAGGTAAGTTGATTTTTGTAGTTTTGCATTTTGTTGATATAGAACACTGCGATAACAAGTGGCATGTCTCTGTGTGGTTAAGGGTAGTATCAATCAGATAAGATTTACATATGAAGCAATAAACTGATGCTAGAATTCTTCCTGATATTTAGTTCTTCACTTGTAATCTTGAGAAGACCTATCATTTCTTTCGCAATAAGAGATTAAAAATTCTGACACACCTTATTTATTATATATATATATTATTAAAAGAGTTTAGGCCCACACAGTCTAGTTAAACCTGAGGAACACAAACGACTAGAGCCTATAAAAATTCCCTTGTGCTTGAAATGGTTTACTTATGAATATATTTCTACACCTTTTCAACATTCTGATTTATCATAAGAACTGTGCAGAAAAAAAATTGGGCCATGCTATTCCACCCAGTTCTTTTTTGGTACCTAACCAGTAAAACATAACTAATCTAATGTTAATTAATCAATTTGTTGTTAAAACCTCTGCAATAAAATGATTTCAGCCACTTAAAGACTGCGTTCCAGTGGAGAAGATACTTATAGTGGGCCATGGAGCAGCTCTGAAGCAACTCTACACTCACATTCACTCAACTCTGGGGTGTAAGTTGCCAGGCGATCCAGACGTCCTGAATTCCATCTCACCAAATACAGGGATATCAGAGTACTTGGTTCAGTAAGTATTTCAGCTTTGATTTGTTAGCTGATGGGAAAGGAGTTGTGTGTCCCTTGCTTGAAAATTTGGGCAGAGATTGATTCTTTTCTTTTCTCTTGCCAGTATTTATTTTGGGGAATACTATTGATTGAATTATATTGCTAGTGATTAGTAAAATTTCACATACATAGAAATAAAATAACAAACAGCTCATGAGATACAAGTCACTAAACAATGACATAATCAAACACACAACACAACACAACACAACACAACACAACACAACACAACACAACACAACACAACACAACACAACACAACACAACACAACACAACACAACACAACACAACACAACACAACACAACACAACACATGTTATAGTACCTAGCACAACCCCACTTGGATATATCTTCATGTGTTCCTTTTCTGTGTTAATGTTCAAGCCATGTAACCGATGCGCCTAATTGTGGCTTTGACCCGTAATTGACATCTTGCTCTCTCCTCTCAGATATTCTCCAAAGAAGTATGTTATGCACTGCCAACGAATTCATGATGGAGAACACTTGAAGGATCTCTAATGATGTTGGACTTAAGGAATGTCTTATTGCACGTGCAACAGTGGCCTTCATCAGCTGCAAATCTGGAAAATGCCTTGCAACCTTTGCACGTCTTAATATTATCAGTAGTTGTTTGATGGAAAGACTTTAGCCGATGGATGTGTAGGGGATTGCAATGTTTGTGTTTTGAGAGAGATAATTGTGTTAAATTTCTTTGTGGAATTTATTAATAATGGTGATAATTATAATCATGAAAAGATAAAAAAAAAAAAAAAAAAAATGGTGAACTTTTATGATAATGACAAAGATATTGGCTATGATTATTTTTATTATGATCATAAAAAAAAAAAAAAATTGAGTTAATACTTTTGAAAAATTGATAATTCATTTTTTTTCTCGTCTTGTATTTCATTACTTAGCTTTTTGTTTTATTTTGAAACAGTTTATATTTAAATGTTTTCTCCTGTCTTTTCAGTATTCAGTATTTATCTTTTTTTTTTTTTTTGTACATAACTTAAGTCAACTTGTTTTTATCATAAAAGTATGTAAAAATAAATTGCTTATGTTTTTAATTATAATAATGTAAAGTAATTGCCCAGTGACACATAAACAAGAAAGGAACGGTCAATGGTATTTACAAGTGGTATTCACTGCAGTTCTGACCAGAGGGTAGCATACACACTGTACATAGTCAACGCTGCGTCTTCCTCTAGGCTGTGTAATGCATTTTAAAAGCATAACTATTTATTTTTAATGTGACAGCTGAAAAAGGCTAATAACATACATTTTTCTTTATGTATAAATTATTTATTTATTGTATGTATCAGTAGTCCCATTTGTAGATCTATTTATGATTAAAATTTTGACCCAAGGTGACATAATCTTTGGTTGAAATCAAGTGCTTAAATTAACAAAGATTAAAATTATATATATACTAAATATATTTCTTTAAACATCAAAGATTTAACTTATTATCTATTGTTCAAAGTGAACAATTGATCATTGTTAATGTTATCACAATGTAGCATAATAAAATATACTAACATCAGTAGAGCAAATGCATATATATATATATCTATATACTGAACACGAACCTTAAAAAAAAATCAAAGTAAGGCACTGCATTGATCGAGCTTTTACTATAACAAATCTATTGCTTGTTCTGATGTACTGTATCAGGTATACATCCTCTTCATAAATATCAAGAAAAGAGAAACTGGCACTCAGTAACAGTCAGGCACAAGAGCACACAAAACCCTTCCGGACATTCAGTAATAGTCAGGCACAGGAGCGCAAACAATCCTGCAGAAATCATGGTAGCGTACAACGCCATTGGGGGAGATGTTGGCTTCACGGAAGATCTGTTCAACTGGGGAGGGGAGAAAAAAACAAAGATGTTTTGAAAAATGGTACCAGAATATCTTGTTACTTTGAAGTATTTATTAATATCTTCTTTATATATTTTTTTATTTAGTTATTTATCAATTTATATACTTTTTTTCTCTTTACCTTCTTTGTGACTGAGCCTCTCACCCCACTGCAAAAGGATATGGCGCAGGTCACGTGCTGGGATGCTGCCAGTGTTACGTGGATCATGCCCCTTAAAGGCAGCAAGGATCTCCTCTGGTATCTTCTCCACCTGGCTGTGCTTGTGCATCACATCCAGAAAGTCAGGGAAGCTCATCTTTCCACCTGAAAAAGATTTCATGTACACACAGGATTTTCACGGATCAAGGTAGTCAAGGTTTTAAAATCTGGGTGTGTTTGGATGTTTTGCAATTGTGATGCTATTTTGAAATACGTATGCAAGTTTTGAAAAATGTAAGTTGGTTCCATATAGAAGCAGGGAGAGAAGGATTACAATCATAGAAGGCGACTTGTGTTAATTTGTGAAAAAAAAAACAGAAAATCTTCAACATGGCCTGATAGGACTCCAGTTTACGGTCTTAACCCATTCACGCCGGGTGTCACATATACATGACATGCCCACTGTGAGTTTACTTGTTTAATTGTTTTTAACATAGATGGCTACACTTGTACTTGTACTGCCTGTCTTGCCTGTTTACCCTTTTCTTTAATTTACGAAAATATTTTACATTATCTTATTTTGCTGTTATTAATGTTTATAACATTATAGTAATTATAATCTTTATAATAAAAATAACCATCGATATTCATAGCACTAGTAAAAATACATTTTCCCGCCAATTCAAGTAAAGGTGAAATCAGGTAAGGCAGAGCCATCTATGTGTAGAGACATTTCACCAAAAATATAAAAAATGAGCACAGCATTTTCCCCATTTTTTGTTCATTTTTACCCATCGCGAATGGTTTAACCATTTTTTTAATTATTATTATTATAATGGAAAGTGTGCAAACAACAAAAGCTATTAAATTGTGACTAGATAATATAAATGATGCATACAGAACAACATACAAACAATAAAAATTTGTGAAAACCAAAAAGAAATGGCAACAGTGATAAGGGAAGAACAAAATGAAGCTGTAATGGTGAGAAGAGAGACAAAGTCTTTAAATCAGTACTTTCCCCTTTGGTTTTGAATTTCATTTTAGGGATGATGAGCACACTACCAAATGTGGAAAGCCAAGTGCATTAAATTCCCAAGCAATGATGAAGAAGCAAAAAATTAAAATAGCAACAAGAAAAAGACCATAATTGTTATTTTATATAATAATACCTGTAGCAAATGAGTATAGTGCACTGCATGATACATTTCTGAAATATGTTGAGAAAATAATACAGCTAGGGTAGTGATGAAAACAGACAAATAAGCTTTTAGTCTGAGAATGTCTGATTATAAACTAAACAAATACAACAGTATGATGAATGATTATAAGCAAAATTGCTACCAATCTTTTAATGATTTAATAAATAGTTTGCTGATCATGTCATAAAGAAACAAAATTAGCATGAACATACATAAATCACCTAAGAAAAGCATTAAACTGTAAGTTGTTTGATAATATGAAAAGACATAAAAGGGAACAAATTTAAGTTGAAAGATTGACTGCAATGAACTGGACTCAAGTCCTGCAAATTACTGAATACAGAAAGAGGAATAGAAACCCTGATAAATGAATTCAAATTAGTGACAGATGGAAAGAGGATAAAATAGAAAGTAGAAGAGGGGAGACAGGATATGACAGATGAAATCAGAGGAAAGAAAAGGTGAGGAAATCAGGAGAGCAGAGAGAGAGGGAGAGACTGAATGTGTGAAAAATCTTACCTTTATCCTTGAAGTATTTTTTAAGCTCAGAAATGGTTGGACTCATTCCAAGGGAACGCATAATCACAGTCAACTGGTCCAAAGTACGAATCTGCCCATTGCGAGCATAGAGAGAGAAACACTCCCTGAATTCTGTGGGAAAAAAACACAATGCACATTTCAATTATTTAAATTATCTGCTACATCATGTTGACTCTGTGGTGGGTAAAGTTTTTTTTTACTAAATTGATTAAAAATTTCTGACATCAGATATCATAATGGCTTGCTAGCACCAAAACTGACATCCTTGAATATATGGTCAAATGGGGTAAATAATATTGCACTTTAAAAAAAATTGTATTACGACTTACTGAAACTACCTTTCGTTGAAAAAAAAAATCCATCAATAAAACACGGAATTTAATTTTAAATGTACATTCAGTATGTAAATGCTGTATGTGCAAATTAGAATTACGGGAAATAAATACGCCAATTTCTTGTGCTATTTAAATACATGGGCAGTTTTAAAAAAATTGTGATAATAGGAATAATGGTTTAAAAGAAAACTAAAATTAATATTTAAAGTGTGACTTAGTGTTTAGTCATGCATGTGAAAATCATGGAAAGTGATACAGATAACAAAGAAATTAAATTATAGATTTATGCACCTAACCCCTATCAGTTAAAGGGATATTTAGCCAGAGCCTAATGAAGCTGTATCAAAGCATTAATGATATATGTTATATTCTGGCATTATTCACTCACATCCACATGGCTCAATATTTGTGAAGGCACATTCTTGGATAAATCATTTTATTTTCTACTATACTGATATTCTAACAGTCTATGTTATTCTGTTTTATTGCATCTATTGAAATATCCATTATCTGTCTTGTCCTCTTTACCTTTTATACTTCTTAGGTCTTTCTGCTTGTTCCCCTCAATATGCA